GTCCGTAGAGCCGAGTGGTCCTTGCCCAGAGCTAGTGGGCTGCCTCATGTACCTGATGACCTGCACTCGTCCTGATCTTGCGTACCCTCTTGGCCTTCTGGCTCGCTACGTGGCTCCTGGTCGGCACCAAAAGGTGCACATGGATGCTGCTAAGAGGGTACTACGCTACTTGTGCAGTACATCGGGCATGGGGCTCGTGCTTGGAGGACGGGGCGACGTTGTCCTCACTGGTCACTCAGAAGCTTCTTGGGTTGATGACCTGGCCACGCAGCGGTCGTCACAAGGTTACACCTTCAGTCTTGGCTCTGGCTCAGTTTCTTGGCGGTCTACACGCTCGTCTTCTGTTCTCAGCTCCAGTTGTGAGGCTGAGATCTACGCCACACCCATGGCTGCACAGGAGTTAAGCTGGCTCACCTACCTGCTGACCGACCTGGGAGAGTGGCCTCGTTCTCCTCCAGTTCTGTACGTAGACAACAAGGCCGCCATTGCCTTGTGTCAGGAGCACAGACTGGAGCACATAACGAAGCACATCGCATTGCGTTTTTTCCTTGCTCGAGAGTTGCAGCAGCGTGGTCAGCTTCGTCTTGCTCACGTAGCTACTCGGGCCAACACTGCTGATATATTCACCAAGGCACTTCCGTCTGGTAATCATCAGCGTTTCTGCACTTTGTTAGGCCTTGTGCCCACGTTTCCTCACTTGCTGTAGACTTTGCTTGTACTGTGATCTACATATATATACCTGCATGCTTACTCTTGCTAGGTAGTGATCACTGTACTGCTGTTGTTGCATATATACCTCTGCATGTAAACTGGCCTTGTGGCCCTCTGCTTGTGCTCGGTGTGTGTGGTGACGTTGTGATCCACCCCGAGCTTGCTTTGCTTTTCTTGACAGGTCTTGTGACCCCTTGTTCTCCCCCACTTTGCCTATGGGGGTGTGTCAAACTACATGCCTATGTCATAATAGAATGTAGGCTTTAGTGGGGTAGCCAATGTAGGGTATAGGTTTTGTTACTTGTACCCAACTCTCTCGATCCTGCAACCACCATTTTCCTTCCCTTACTCTCGACAACATCTGCAATGCTTCGTTAGCAGACGATGCGTTAAGGGAGAACCTTCGGAAATGCTTAATAACCTGTCTGTTATTTCAACAGAATCTTGATGCCAGCATCGCACTAGCTAGCTCGCACTCACCGCGTAACCGTTTGCATGTTTCCGTGTACTCGCTCATGCCTTCTGTATGGAATATAGCTGTTCATTACTGAGTCTGCTCCTAGGGCGTACAGCCCCAAACACTCCGCGTCAATTTTCAGTTCGGCCTACACTTCGGGCCGAACCACTGCCAAGTCGCCACGCACCAATCGCGACACATCCAACCCTCGCACGTCATGAGGTTCTCGCCTAGCACGTATTCGCCCTATAAATGCTTGCTCTCTTCATTGTTTCGTCATTCTGTATTCACGGTCTCGTTATTATGTCTTCCGTGCTTTCTGTTTAGTACAAAATATAACACCTTCGCTTGTACTCATTTTGACACCCGTTACACTGCACCCGTAACACCATTTTATATATATATATATATTATACATTACATGAATGCAAAGACATCGGCAGTCGTAACTGTACCCGTAACACCATGTGAACATCGCTGTTCTACGAACGAGGGCGTCAGAACAACGAGGCACCCCCACTTTGCCACCCCTATGTTCTACGTCAGCACCCCCACCTACTAGTAGGTGTTTAGGGATGGCTCACGAAGGGCATGCCAATCAGCACATAGAGATTTTTCTTTGCCTGCATGCAGCACTAGACGTTCAAGTATCACCGTTTCCTTCAACTCAGGGAGTCGGCGAATTGCGTCAACGCCTAACGGCAAGGTCAACGCCTTCGGTATACCATGGTTGATGCCTCCCGACATCCCGTCCAAACGAATTTTGGTTTCTTGTTGCCCGTAGGCGGCAGCTCGCTGGCGCCACTGACACTGGGCGTATTGTGAAACATGTTAAATTCACAGGGGTGGCATCGTTAGGTTCATACGGGGTGCCAACGTCGCTGTTCTACGTTGGCGCCCTTAGTAGGTCCTCGTATGGCACCCCTAGTAAGCCAAACGCCGACCGCCGACCACTTACTGGTTTCAAACCCCAACTCCATTACCGCGAAACCCCACCCTCAAACCCATCCTCAACGCAGCAAAATCAAATGGCTGCCCTCACCTGAGATTCTGCTGCTCCACTTCTGAGGCGCTGGACGACCGCGTGTCCTGTGAAGCAGTGAGTGTCCTAAAATGACTGCTCCCTTCAGTTAGTACCACATTACCTAAGAATGTGACATCGTGGAAAAGGTTTCACCCCAAATTCGAGTTGAAGTCCGGAAGCTGCAGGAAAGTTGCAGAAATGCTGCACAAAAGTATCCGGAAAACAATAGCCCAAAAATGCAACTTTCCTGGCGTATGGTTAAGTCCCGAACACAGCCGTGCGTGGGTGAGACTGGACATTGGCGTCTCGGCTTGCCTAATCCGCCGAGCCGCGTGCCGAAACTCGCACATTTTAGACGCGACGCGGCATGCACGTGCACCACGACCTCGCATACAGAGTGGTTCCGACGTTCGCTTGGATACAACAACTGTTGTGTATACCAACCACTAAACCACACAGAAACCGCATTCACACTAAAAAGACCGCAGGTTCACTCTGGGCCGGCACACACACCACACACACACTGAACCAAAGCCTCAATACATATCTGGTCATCAAGGTTGATACATTTATAAGGGTTCATCACAGCACACGCGTACACGAGGTCAACTACGCTACCCCACACATCATACCGCATACACCGCGTCAAAACCAGAGTCCAAGCCTTAAAAAAACCCCCAGTTTAGCATACAACAGAATCACAACAGCTTCTCTGCGTACAACTACACCACGCGGACCACACTCTCTTTGTCATCCTCCACAGGGAACAACACGCATGCCTTCTGAACGGGTGCCTCCTCCGCCGAACCGTCAGAAGTAACCCCTTCGGAGCTTGTACTGGCCCCCCGATTGCGCTTAGTAGGCGTGCGGCGGAGACGTCTCACCACCTCCTCATTGACCACACCGACCTCCCCTGGAACATCTCGCGGATGTATTCCCAGCCTCTCCGCCTCCTTCACAAACCCTCCATGCACCATGCGCCCAACACGGCGACAGCTGCGACTGTCCCGCATTCGAGGCCCCTCAGGGATGCAGAAGTAGGCCGGAATCTCCTCCTCCTGCTCCTCGTCCCCGGCGCCTGCCGGCTTCCACTTCTCGAGGAGGTCTTCGTCACACTCCACGAAATCCCACGCCGTCATGAACGCCCTGCTGCTGCACTGTGCTTTTGAACTCCTCGATTAGGAGCTGCAACTGCGTGAGATCCAACACCAGACATTCGAACATGCCGGCCGCAGCTCTCCCTTTCATGCAGTCCATACGCGCCAGCCAGCCCTTCGGAACGCACCCGGCTCTCCACCAGCTCCTCTGGATTGTGCCCGCCATCATCAATTTGGCCACCATGCACAGCTTGTACAGGACATCGTGCAGCGGAGGGCGTGGAAACACACCGTCCCGGACCCACTCGGTGCTGCGAACCGCGTCGCGCATGAACCACGTTCGAAACACCGCTTTGAGTGCGTCGACCACTCCATTGAAGGCTGTGAACGCACACGCGGGCACCACACCAGCCGTCTGCACAACTCGCACGCGGGTCAACTCCTCCACAACAAACCCCGCCATGTTGCTAGTCCGTTTCACACAACCGGTCAGCGTGTGCGCCGGGTTGTGTACAAGCACCACCGCCTTCTCGTTCTTCGTGTGCACTTCAGCGTTGAAATCGTCAATGTACTGCATAAACAACTGCGCACACAACATCACCGAACCCTTAGGGCGGGATAACATGCGCGCGCACTGACAAACCAGCGGAACGACGCATCCAACACGTGATGCCCCATCAACGGACGGATACCAACGCACCAACATACCTCGCTAGAGAAACGGCCATTCTTAGCGTAGCGGACTTGGACATCATGACGCCGCTTGCGACCCTCGTGTAAGAGCCTCTTGTCGTCCCGTCAAAGAACCACGTGCGGTGGCTTGCGGATACTTCCGTTCGCGTTGTAACAAAAGCACACAGGCATGTGCCACTTGCGCGACACCTGTTCACGTTCGTCCTGAGACGCGCCCACCGGAACCCGTGTAGGGATGAGCGGAAACTCGGTGAAAGCATACACCTTCTTAGGCGGAGCCTTCAGAGCCTCTAGAAGGTTCACCAGGTAAGCCATGTCGAGAGCATACAGAATACAAACTGTATCCGTATTCCCGCGCCGTAACACTAAATCGCCCCAAAAGCAGCACACTGGAAGACAAGAAACTTGCCGAACGAGGCCCACAATCTGCCACCTCAGTGTCACAATGGAACGCCCAACCCCGTCCGCAATCCCCCGAGCTGCAATCACCAACATTATCCACCAATGGAAGAAAACTGCCAACCAATCGGCGCGTGCACTTTGGATTACAATGGGCGTCCATCCGAACACCATCCACCAGCCCCACAACTCGGCCCCGCCCAACACCACACACTCAGAAAACGAAATGCGGGTACACTCAACGGTCCTGTAGCACACACCGCACCAACCATCTCGCGTACTCAACATGGTATGCTTCACACGCATACCAACGAGGTATGTAGAGTGGTTAGTGTTCTGGCATGTCACGTCTATATCAAAGTAGCGTTAATACTAGTGTAGCCATTATGGGTGTACCACCACATCATACGCGGCGTCATGAGTTTTGTGCGCTCGGAGCATCGGCGCTCCCATATATGGGTACAATGCATTAGGTCCCTGCATGTATTACGCATGCCACCGTTTCCCAACCACGCATTTGTGCGTATAGAGGTATCCTACACGGGTTTTTTACCCCAAACACGTAATGAGCATGCAGTACTCTCATCCCAAAGTCACGCTTCATCCGTCACCCCACAGCTCACTCACACAACAAGAACTTGTTGAGCAGCAACACCCGTGGGTTGCTGAAAGAGCGGCATATGTGCACTATCCGCTCGATGCTCTCCAGTGCAACGACAGCATGCCTTGTGTCCAACCGGGACAGTGTGAGCTGCACGCAGGTGGTGAGTGGGCAGACCCCCACCTGCTCATACCACCGCACGTACACAAACCCCCTCCGCTCCCCGTCGTCCATGGCCGCCTTGAAAATACAGAGCGCCTTTGCGTACCACTCTTCCTTCTTCTTGTTCGACTTCACGGCAAAGTCTGTGAACCAGTTCTTCTTGGGACTTGCCTTGATGAACGCGCCCTTCGAGACCAGTGCTCCACCCTTGGTGCGTGGAATCGCCACCGCCGTGTGTGCCTGCATCGGTGGGGCAAGGGAACACGAGGGTTTGCGTATGATAAGTACGGGTCGTCAAGCAGCATTCGTACCCCGCATAACAAGGCATCGCTGATATACCACACATGCGGACAGCCTAGGGCTTCATGGCACGTACCACAATCTCTGAAGCCGTGATGTTCGCAGCCACCATGCACCCAGGCAGTGAGTCCATGAGCTCTCCCAGCGCGGTACGGTAGGTGGACATCACAGCGTCGCCCTCCACCTCTAGTCGCATCGTCCGGCCCTTCCTCGTGAGCACGGGCTTCATCGTCTCCACCGCCTGCCATGTTGGGCATGCAAGCGTATACCACGAGTACGAGTGGGAGATTCACCTAAAATGCGTCTTGCCAAGTCGGCTCATGTCAACGTGCAATAACAGTAACACTGACGCCCGGACACACTGGCTCACCTTGCGCAGAGCGGTCGCATACTGACGCCCACCACCCGCGTCCTGTGCCACCCCCCTGTATATCTCTCTCGGCACCTCCTCCTCGACGATCCGCCTGGGGATGTCCTTCCAGTTGCTGCCCCTGACCGGTATCTTGACTGTCCCCTTGTGGGTATGCTCCCACATCTCCGTGCTGTAGTGGTGCGGCATCCCGCGCAACATCACATTGTCCAGCAAGTGGACAATCATGTGAATCTTGGGAAAGTGCCAGTGCGAGGCGTGGTCCGGGTAGGCCTGGGGCAAAATCTCGACCAGCCTGTGGAACAGGCCATCGCATGAGAAGGACGGTGACTCCGTACATGTCATGGTCAGACACTATCACGACACCCTATCGATGCAGTCAAGGCCGCCCCCAACCCCCAAACCGGGTCCCTCAATTCTAGCTTACTTGATTGCATGTGCACGTGCGATTGCTAGAGAGGCCTCCGTATGTCCGCTGACCCCCAGAAATGCCTTGTAGAACGTGGCATACATCCGGAACGCCCGGACGCGGAGCGCGGCCAGCTCCCCAGCCTTCCCCTTCTGTAGCGCTGACTTGTCGGCCACTAGGATGGGCATCACCTGCATCATGCTGCGGTGTTCGAAGGCTGCATAGTTTGCACCACTCAGGAAGTATGAGCTCCCTCCAGGCAGGCGCAACAGGACACTCGGCGTCTCTCCTTTGGTAGTCTTCTTGCGCCTGTTGAGATAGGATGCCCGGAGATATGCACAACGAACAGGTTGAATGGAGCACCGTCCCCCACAACACCGCCAATGCAGGGACCAAACGGTGTTTCCATTGCATACTTTCTGGGATACTGTCCGTAAGCAGGAAACCGGAGCTGCTCACCTCTCAACATCCCGCCGCTCTGGCTTGCTTAGAACCGCGATGTGGTTCTCCAGCATGTGCAATGCCATTCCCGAATCCAGCACATCCATGATGTCAGCAACGCATGCCCCAAACGGGTTTCCCCACGTCGTGTTCGAGAAGTTCCACTGCGACAACACGCACTGCATGGTGGGACATGCAAGGCTAAAAGGGGCTCAGGTCTCGCTGGGCATCCGCACCAATTGTGATCAACTACGCCCAGCAACAACACCGGCATACCCATACCTCCACGTGATGAGTTGACCACTCGGACTGTATTGCTTCCGCCTCTTTCACCGTCTTGCACGCAAGCATGTTGCGCAGCACGTGCATCTCGGAATCTAATATAAGTGGCGTGGCCGTATGCTCAAGGTCTCGAAGCAGCTCGTCCGGAATGTAGCATGTGCAGCATGGCCGCTTTGTGCCTGTTTGCAGCGTCGCCGTGACTCTGCATTGTTCGATGAAGTCGCTAGGGTAACCAAAGAAGCACGGCACGGCCTTAACCGGCTCACCCTTCGCGTCTGCGGCGTAGAAGACTCTCAAAGGAGCCCTGCATGTGCGGATGAGAAGAGAAGGGGATTGGGGCCGTATGTTTCCACTGCAACATACCAATATACCACGCATAGCGACTGTATTTGCAGCATAATAGGCAGACCTACATACGTGGAGGACTCCCGCATGTGTGGCGCCAGGATGATCCGTATTGCCTCCTGAAACACCCTGGCCTTCTCCGTAGATGTTGCACACTCGGGGGGGAAAGACAGCACAGCAGCCAGTGCGTGGCCAGGTTCCGTCTTCCGCAGCTCTTCCGGTAAGTTGACCAGAGTTATGAGGACGGGCCATGCCTGGCGGCGCCCGTTGCGCGTGGCGTTGGTGCCGTCGCTGTAGACAATGACGCCAAGCACCCAGGCGGATGGGTCTTTTACGTCCTTCTGCCACACATGAGCTCGTGCAAATGAGTGCATATGAAGACACGACAGTACAACCGACCACGGTCGTATGCGCTGCATCCCGTACCTGAGCCTCTTCAAGCCATTTCGCCGTGTCGGGGTCGGTGTAGATCCGCTCGTTGGTCTTGGGGTCCACATCTGTCCTAGGTTTTGTAACGAACCCTTTAATTCCGGCAAAGATGCGCACAATCTTCTTCACGATCTGGAAAGGCACCAGGGTACATTGGAACACGTGTGATGCGAGCATCTCCACATTCCACGAAGCATTCCCTAGACTGTAAAGGCACATAACGGAATGCACGTACCTCCTCCGTGCTCCTGTAGTGCAGCGGGAGCTTCTGAGTTTGACTGCGCGGACCTCTGACCACTATCTCCTCGCACAACCACGGGACCATGTCTGGAGGCGCCCTTGCTTCCCCCCATCGCCTCACGTCCAGCCAATTGCGCCAGCGACGCAATGCACGCAGGTTGAATCTCGGATCCCTGAAGATATGCAACAAGCGGTTGACCTCGCGGCGCGAGAGGTCCGAGTCTCTGATGAAGAGATATATCGCAGTGAGGGTGTCAAAGATCTCCCCGTCGGAACTCTGCTCGCTACATGTGGAGTGATCGTCATCATCGCTATGCTCTACCTTGGCGGCTGTCGGAGCAGCTGTTCTCTTCTCTGATGACCTCTCGCTGGTGCTGCCACTGGCGGTGGTAATCTCGGGTGTACGGGGCGGGATGCGCAAAAATGCCAGATGGGCCTCCAGATATGCCTCTACGAGGAGGACTTTCCCCCGTCCTAGAATCTTTTCTCGGCATGCATCGTTGCTAGCCAGGTGCGACTGCAGCCTGTTGTCGTCACGGAACGCTTTTCTGCATCCCGCGCACTCGTTGCCACCCATGATACCACCGCAAACCCTAGACTAGCTGCCATCAGAAGTTAGTATACTGTTGGGTGCACGGAACAGGCCCAGTAGCGGTGTTCTCGGTATAAACACACGCATTGTTGGAAGTTTTTGGTTGCATTTGCATAAGCGAGAAATGAAATGCAACGACCGAGTGCACAAATTTGGCAATATCGGATGTTCTTGTACGCGCCTCGGTAAATCACGTATTCGCGCTTTGAAACCCGTAGACTTTTACAAGAGTTTCAGAATGCACAGTGCGCAAAGCGACCAACATCCTACCGAGTATACTTTGTGCGTGCCATCTTGATCTGCATGTCATGGTGACCCGCCAGGTGTCACGCTTTTAGGGCTGCGCGCCAAAAGTAGTTCAGATCCATACACCATTTCCAAGGCCTCAGAATTTCCAGCGCATTCCAAAACTTGCCGCACGCAACGGAACACGACTGGTCTTATTTTCCATAAAATGGACGCCCCAGCATACTCACCCATTCCCATCGCCTAGCTTTCCAGTAGCACGAGCATCCGAAGCCGTCATGTCCCCTCTTGGGCGAGCCCGCGACAAGCAGTGTGCTTCGAAGGGCAGATCTCAGCGCTTAGTAAAGGGTAACAACACAGGAGGCGATGTAGACGTTACGGAGGTCGGATCTATTGCGCGTTGCCTCCGTAGCGGTAGGCGACAAAGCTGCAACGAAAATAATAACAAGAAAGAAGGCATGGAGCCGGATGGAGGCGATGCCCCTGCGCAGCTGTACAAGACCAAGCTGGAGACGGAGGCGGAGCTTCCAGAGCCTCACGACCCCGTCTATCGCTTACGCACTGCAAAACACCCAGAGAAGATGAGGCTCCTGACGCTATTCAATGCAGATGGCGTTGGCTGTGTCGTTGAGGCGTCAGATATCATCACCATCGCGGACGGGAAATGTGTCACCGACGCCATCGTGGACTTCCACAACGTGTGAGTGGTACCCTTAGCCTATGTTCCACCAAATACCCCTTAAGTTTTGCTTGGTCGCTTGTGGCGTGACATCGCACATTTCCTGACTGGTCAATGGTTGCATTGCGTGCAGGTTGCTGAGCATCCGACACCCCACTACGCCCAACGGCAGTACATGGGCCGCGGTCGACAGCAAGGCTTTCGACTACTGCAACACATTCAAAAAGCCTTACACCATGGGCAACTCGGGCTGAATTTTCGATGTGGACTACTTGGCCATTCCCATTTTCAAAAGGTGAGTAGCGCTGATGAGTGGCACCGGCTTCGTAAGAACACCCATCTAACCCATGCTTTTAACCACCGCATGTATCCGGTTTCCATGCCATGTTGCAGTTCACACTACTCTCTGATGATCGTACCGTCCCCAAAGAGACTGCTGGGCGCCACGTCGGCGGCGGACACGACGCCTCTGGAGCTGATTCTACTCGACAGTTATGGGACCCGTCTGTGTTTGATGGCGTCAAACTGTAAGATTTGGTCTGCCGTAAGTGTAGCGATAGTCATATTGCCGTTACCCATGGTGAGGGCTGTCTCATGCTCTGTGTTGTTGATGCCCCAGGTTTCTGGAACTGACCGCCAAAGATTAGCACCCGGAGTGTGACGCAGCCACTCTTGTGACCGCTTTGAGGGACGCTACGCCCGTTCCCATGAAGGTGGGTGCTAGATCAATGTCTGGCCTGTGCTGTAGGCAGGCATACATACTACGTACCAGTGTGCTAACAGACTCTGGGTGTATTTGATGTGTGTGTAGAAGCATAAGGTGGCGCAGCAGGACAACGAGCACGACTGTGGGATTTTTGTATGCCACTTCCTGAAAATCCTTGTGGACACAGATTTCAAGACACCGCGCTCGTATCTGTACGTGGAGGGCGTCAGTTCGCTGGAGATGCGGCGGGCCATGCGGGGAGACCTGTGCATGCATGCGGCTGACGAGCTTGTACCAGCTTGTGAAACTGGGGGTGGTCGTCCCAAAGCAACCCGCGCCCAGAGTTGCTAAGCACGGCGCCGTCCTAGATTCAGGAGGGGAGGACGGCAACACAAAGCTGACGCGGATGCAGGTGGAGCTCTACGGCATGAAGAGGGACATTGTGATCTGGAAAGCAGCCATCACAGCCGTCGGAGCTGCTATGGGCTACAGTGTCGACGAGCTTCTTGCAGGAGCTGCCCACGTTTTGCAGGCCACGAATTCGGAAGGGCACGCTGCGATATCCGGAGGCAGACGATCCACTGCACCCTCCACCCCCAACCCACGTGCAGGTGCGCGGCCAGGCGTTACAGACAGCCCCGGTTCCAAGGGCGATCCGGATGTCAGTGTTGCCCATGGCGGTGCGGGCATAGCCAGAGTCGAGCTAGGGGTGGTTCATCCGAGTCCATGCGCGCTGCCCGTGCCGGCCACACGTATCTGGTCGCTGAAAGAGACTCCGGGAAGTGTGCCCATCACGCACCATGCACAGCAGTCGGTCGTCCATGCAGGTGGGACAAAGCCAGTGGTGTTGGCTATTCCGGCAAAGAGGAAACGCGACGACACTGCTCCGTCCGCGGGCGATGCTGAGGGCGACGTGCACGCTTGCAAGGGGAAGGGTAAGGGACAGGGACGTAGTTCAAAGTACAAGGGTGTGCGTAAGGAGAAGCGTGGTAAGTGGAGCGCAAAGATCTTATTCCGGGAGAAGAATAAGGCCAAGCGCACGCAGATGAGGCTGGGTGCGTACAACAAGGAGCTGGAGGCTGCCACTGCGTACGCGGCCGCGGTGCACGTTGTCAAGGAAGGCAAACGTGTTTCGGGAACAGTGGATCTGTCGGAAGAGGAGAAGGGTCTGCTGAAGGGGTGCACACTGGCAGAGGTCAAGTGGCTGGTTAAGGGCCGACAGTGGTTCCGATGGACGGAGTGGGAGACGGCATTAGCGGACTGTCCGGAGGAGGACACATGAGGGGAGGGGGAAGAGCATTCTCAGTCGCAGGATGACGAAGAGGAGGATGTTGCTGGATGCGCCTCACAGGAGGGGGAGGAGGAGATAGAGTTGGAAGGGGACAGGATGGGCGGTGCCTGCGCGAAGGAAGGGCAGGGCACTCCACATGAACTCAACGAGGATGCTGCTGAAGCGATGGATGGTGTGGCGGAACAGGGGATACACACGGGGGTTGCTCTGGGTGATGCCATTGATGGGGCGATGTTTGATGTAGACCCAGAGGCTGTGACGATGTGATGATTTTATAAAGTTGTTTGTTTTTCCGGATAGTGTTCAGAGTTTGTGCTCAACCGGGAAATTGATGCATGCTGTAGGGTAGTGTAAGTCCGCACTGTTTACGGACAGTTTGTATAGCGAATACATCTGGCAGACCACTTGACCAGTCCCGCTAGAGTGGCATATAATTTGGTGCGTTGAGTGGTTGGATAGCGAGGGATACAAGGACACATTGACACGTGTCGTGGAGATCGGGTATGCAGCAGTATACCGACAGGGATTGGCTGCTGAGATTGCGTACCAGCACACGGTCGTTGTGGATGTTCTAGTTTGGTGCTATGCGCATAAGGGCACTGGAAGTGAACCGGGGTGGAATGTGCATACTTTTTCCTATATGGTGTGCCATACTACTGGTTCCCACAGCTTTACGCGCTCGGAATGGAAACTTCTTTGGGGACGTCCGAAGAACTGCCTGCAGGCCGGTCGCAGAGGCCAAAGCGCCCCCCAGAGTATCTCCGGAACGAGTATCTTTTGAGTGGTAGACGGTCCTGGGAGCCGAAATGTGTGCGGGGGAACGCGGGTCCATACAAGCAGCAGAGGGCTGCCAAGCAGAAGTGTGTCCCTGTCCAAGGTAGTTCAGTGGGGGTGCATCTTGTAGGGGCACGCATGTTTTAGCCACACTGCTGTTGGAGCCCTTATATTGTGATATTTGCTCTTCCATGTTGTGCTCAACTTGCGCCCATGAGTGGTTAGTGCGGCCCAGGGTGCATCGCAAGTCACGCCGAATGCGGCGGTCGAGTCAAGCGTCGGCGCTGGCGATGAGGAGGTCGGTAGCGATGGCGGAGGTGAGGCTGCGCCGGTCCGTTCCAAAGCGGTTGCTTCAGTCTTGGTAGACGCGCCCGGTACGGTGAACGACAAGGCGGCCAAGGCACCGCCTCCCCCAGTGCCAGACAACCCTTTTGTGGCGATGCCATGCGCATCTGCGCAGCAGCCAAGTGGATCTCGACGGGAGGAGGCGTTTCCAAATGACAACGTCGTCATAAGCCGTGCCGAGCTCGAGGCGCTGAAGACGGCGAGAGACGACGGTGACCGTTGGATTGCGCGCCTGGAGGCGCTGCTGCTGGCCGTACAGGATCCGAGGCAGAGGGATCAGAGGGAGGAGCGGACGGGCGATGATGCGCGGTCGCGCAAGCGCAGGCGGGTCGAATCAGGCTCGGAGGACGCTACTTCCGCGGATGATGATGAGGCGGAGGCGGAAGCACAGCCCGTGAGGGCACGCCGTTTGCGTAGGAGGCGCCACATGACGGTGTCGAGCTCTCCCATACTTCAGGAGGCGTTTGATTTCATGCCGGAGGGAAAGGCGTGGAAGGTGAGTGAACGGGCACGGGTTCCTTCATAGCATCTAGCGTACGGGGTGGTGGTGGGATGTCCGTTCGTCTTGTTTTTTTTTTTTTTGAGCGTCGAATGTAAGGGTGCATCTTGAACTCCCGTTCCACTGGCAGAAACATGCGATCATGCGAGGGAGTACCTCTTCATTGAGCGGGCGAATGATGGGATGACCTTTTATCCAAGCAGCTACGACAAGACCCTTGGTTTATGCTGGGTCACACCTCGCCTGACGCTGAAGTATGCAGGTATCGCACTCGCAGCCGACAAGACGCGTCGCGATGACTTTAACAAGACACTGAGCCAGTGGAAGACAGAGGTCACTGGACGCGTACGAGACATTGCACTGCCGCGCATTGGTCTTTGGCGCCATGCGAGAGATGCGAAAAGTCCGTGGGCACGCGCGAAGAGGCGAGAGGCTGGGGAGGTTCGGCTTCGTTGTTGCGTTCTGGACGATGTGAACGGTATGCATTTGGCCTCATCATACTGGGTTTTTTTGGTGTAGTTTGGTTGACATCGTGGTGCATTGGTCCATTGTGTGTGCAGAGAATCTCACACTGTCAACCTGGAGCGAGAACAAGAGCGGCATGATCTTTGCGTCAGGGGCCTTCACGGCTTGTGCCGTGACCGCCTTCCAGCCCAAGAAGGTCATTGGGACAGTGACCGTGAAGCTGTACCAGATGGCTTGGCTCGAGCATGTGGTGAGTTGCATCACATGCACCGGTAATGCGACTCCTGCACGGGACTCATGCCATTGTGAGAGGTTGTTGTTGATACACGTGTCAGAACTAGCAGTAGAAAGTAAGAATGAAGAAAGGAGGAGGTTCACTAGCAAGCAGTTGGATACATATAGCAAACCCTAATTGGGCTGTACTCACTATGGAGTACCCCACTGCAGGCTAGACAATTATAACATTCTGACACACCCCCATAGCCAAAGTGGGGTGTAATCAGCACAACAAGCAAGCATAGTAATAGTTCACAATTATAAGCAAAGCTAGAGGTAATCACAGCGGGCAAGTGAGGAGGAGGAGGGACTGTGCGAGGATAGAAGATGGGAGACGACGGCTGAAGTTGCAGACACACGGGCAACAGGAGCTGCTGGCACAGTGGCTACCGAGACAGCGCCCCGGACTACTGGAGTAACTGGCTCACGGGCTACGAGGAGCTACAGGAGCAACGGACCCACGGGCGACAGGCGCAGCAGAGTCTCTGGGCTACCAGGACAGTGCGCCCCGGACTACAGGTGCTGCGGACGACAAGACAGCAGCCTCCACTCAACCTCCCCCGACCGTCCCACACCCCTCTCACACACACCCCCTGCTTCACCCCTAGCTCCACTCCCCCTTCACCCCTTAGTACCACTCCGACGGCTCCAACAGATCCACCCCCCTCAGCGGCAGCTGCAGCACTGGGAGACGGAGGAGGAGGAGGAGCAGGGGACGGCACACAGAAACTGCACCCCCATACCCCCCACCCCAAACCCTAATTCAGGAGAACGGGCAGCAGCAGGGGTGGGGCGCCGTCAGAAGCACGGGGGACAGCGGGCAGCGCAGGGGAAGAGGAAACAGGGCGCCCACGGGCCTGGCGCAGCCCGTACGAGCCGCGGGCGGGCGGCCCGAGGCGCGCCCTGGCCTGGCGCAGCCCGTACGGGCCGCGCGCGGGCCTGGCGCTGCCCGTACGGGCCGCGCGCGGGCCTGGCGCAGCCCGTACGGGCCGCGCGCAGGCTGTACGGGCCGCGCGCGGGCCCTACGCAGGTCGCGCAGGCCGCGACGGGCGACGGGGGGCGACGCGCGGGTCCCCGTCGCCCGTCGCAGCGCCTCCCAGGAGCGACGCGCGGAGTGACGGGGCAGAAAGCCGCCGCGCGCCTCGGGGCGCACGGCGGGCAGAAAACCGCCGCGCGCCTCGGGGCGCACGGCGGGCAGAAAACCGCCGCACGCTCCGAGCGCGCGGCGGGATGAAAAATCCGTCGCACGCCACGGGGCGTGCAACACACAGAGTAGCAGTAGCAGCGGAAGCAGTGAGGTGGTGGGCCCACCCACAGGATCGACCCAAGGGGATCGACCTGCTCTGATAGCATGTCAGAACTAGCAGTAGAAAGTAAGAATGAAGAAAGGAGGAGGTTCACTAGCAAGCAGTTGGATACATATAGCAAACCCTAATTGGGCTGTACTCACTATGGAGTACCCCACTGCAGGCTAGACAATTATAACATTCTGACAACACGCAGGTGACGGACACGATCCTGAACTGGGACATGCGCAAGGGCCGCCTGTCAAACTCTGCTGGCGGCAACGCGCAGGTGGTGAACGGGCTCCACGAGGTGGCGGGTGCGGCAGTAGCGCAAGCGATCCAAGACTTCAAGCCCAAGTACGATGATGATGCGGCGGCGTGGGTCTGGGGGGAGCATGGGCTGATGCTGTCCTCGTGTGGCCTTGAGTACATGATTCCCGACCAGTATGCGCAGAGGACGCCTGTTGTGGAGGAAGGTGCATCGGTTTCTCGTGGTAGTGGCTGATGGGGGGATTGGCGATCGGCGACGTGGGACGAGGGTGCGGGCACGGGGATGCCGGTGCCGTGTCGTTGGTTATGAATTCTGTTTTTTGGTTTTTGTGATATGTTACTCTGGCATTTGTGCGTATGCCTTTAGATTTGGTATGTGTTATTTAGTGGTGGTTTTGTTGTTTGCCATGTCGTGGCGCTGTAACTCAATGGAAAATGTTGTTATAAACGGGGGATACTTATTGGAAGGACAAGATCTTTGTCATATGCACGCATGCATCGATCACGTGTGCGCAATAACGCGAACATTTTGAGCGTGAATGCGGCTATCCGATGGTGGGCGTAATGCGCGCTGCGACATGATCGACGGGTGGTATTCACGAAGTGTACACAGCAATCTTGCCGATGGGACTCTAGGATGCGGGGGTTGCGCGGGTGTGCAACGGTGCAGATCGGGTGTATGAAGGTATGGTAACAATGCAGCGAATTTGCCGCATGTGTTCGGAACAGGCGCTGATTGGCTGGGGTCTGAGAAGTATGTGGTCGACGGCGGGCCCGCGATGGGGCGAATATGGTTTGCGACGGTGTATGTAGCCAATGACGGGGACGGTGATGGTCGGCGGGTAACGTTGTAGCATCGGCTTTATTGGGCGGTGAGGTGTGCCACGGCAAATGCGGCACAAACAGTGTGTCCCGCCGTGCGTGCCCTGGTGTCAGGCGTCGTTATGCGATTGGGCGTGGCATGGTTTGGGGAGGCCCGCTAGTGGTGCACGAGGGTGTCCGCGAAGGTATCACATAGGTGGGCGAATTGGGGTTACTTAGGTGTGTGCCAGTGAACGCGTCAAACGTGCGGGCGTATGATTGGTGTACGATTCGATGCACGCCGTACGAGGTATGCCACGGTGGCGCCGCGTTGTAACAGAGAACGGGTGCAACCCCGAGGTGATGTTTATGCAGTTTGCGCGCAACTGCGCGGCGATATGTAAGTATCTAGATAGTGAGCGGAACATGTCTGAAAGCTGTTTGGAACGTTGCAGGATTGTGTCGGGGGAGTTGCGGAATAGCTGCGGAAATGCAACTTTTCTGCAAAAAAAATTCAACATTCCGGTGACTCGGATTTCTGCAACCTTCGTCCATCACTGCCAAGCTGCAAAACCAAAGTATCCAAAAAGTAATTTTTTGGCAAGTTTTAAGCAGCCTACAGGCACAGAACGAAGCACATCGCTCTGCGTTACTTCCTTGCTCGAGAGTTGCAGCAGCGTGGTCAGCTTCGTCTTGCTCACGTGGCTACTCGGGCCAACACTGCTGATATATTCACCAAGGCACTTCCGTCTGGTAATCATCAGCGTTTCTGCACTTTGTTAGGCCTTGTGCCCACGTTTCCTCACTTGCTGTAGACTTTGCTTGTACTGTGATCTACATATATATACCTGCATGCTTACTCTTGCTAGGTAGTGATCAATGTACTGCTGTTGTTGCATATATACCTCTGCATGTGAACTGGCCTTGTGGCCCTCTGCTTGTGCTCGGTGTGTGTGGTGACGTTGTGATCCACCCCGAGCTTGCTTTGCTTTTCTTGACAGGTCTTGTGACCCCTTGTTCTCCCCCACTTTGCCTATGGGGGTGTGTCAAACTATATGCCTATGTCATAATAGAATGTAGGCTTTAGTCGGGTAGCCAATGTAGGGTATAGGTTTTGTTACTTGTACCCAACTTTCTCGATACTGCAACCACGTTTTTCCTTCCCTTACTCTCGACAACATCTGCAATGCTTCGTTAGCAGACAATGCGTTAAGGGAGAACCTTCGGAAATGCTTAATAACCTGTCGGTTATTTCAACAGAATCTTGATGCCAGCATCGCACTAGCTAGCTCGCACGCACCGCGCAACCGTTTGCATGTTTCCGTGTACTCGCTCATGCCTTCTGTAATGAATATAGCTGTTCATTACTGAGTCTGCTCCTAGGGCGTACAGCCCCAAACCCTCCGCGTCAATTTTCGGTTCGGCCTACACTTCGGGCCGAACCACTGCCGAGTCGCCACACACCAATTGCGACACATCCAACCCTCGCACGTCATGAGGTTCTCGCCTAACATGTATTCGCCCTATAAATGCTTGCTCTCTTCATTGTTTCGTCATTCTGTATTCACGGTCTTGGTATAATATCTTCCGTGCTTTCTGTTTAGTACAAAATATAACACCTTCGCTTGTACTCGTTTTGACACCCGTTACACTGCACCCGTAACACCATTTTATATATATATATATATCTTATACATTACATGAATGCAAAGACATCGGCAGTCGTAACTGTACCCGTAACACCATGTGAACATCGCTGTTCTACGAACGAGGGCGTCAGAACAACGAAGCACCCCCACTTTGCCACCCCTATGTTCTACGTCAGCACCCCCACCTACTAGTAGGTGTTTAGGGATGGCTCACGAAGGGCATGCCAATCAGCACATAGAGATTTTGCTTTGCCCACATGCAGCACTAGACGTTCAAGTATTACCGTTTCCTTCAACTCAGGGAGTCGGCGAATTGCGTCAACGCCTAACGGCAAGGTCAACGCCTTCGGTATACCATGGTTGATGCCTCCCGACATCCCGTCCAAACGAATTTTGGTTTCTTGTTGCCCGCACGCGGCAGCTCGCTGGCGCCGCTGACACTGGGCGTACTGTGAAACATGTTAAATTCACAGGGGTGGCATCGTTAGGTTCATACGGGGTGTCAACGTCACTGTTCTACGTTGGCGTCCTCGTATGGCACCCCTAGTAAGCCAAACGCCGACCGCCGACCACTTACTGGTTTCAAACCCCAACTCCATTACCGCGAAACCCCACCCTCAAACCCATCCTCAACGCAGCAAAATCAAATGGTGTCAGAACTAGCAGTAGAAAGTAAGAATGAAGAAAGGAGGGGTTTCACTAGCAGCAGTTGGGATACATATAGCAAACCGAGCACCCCACTATAGGCTAGATTATTATAACATTCTGACACACCCCCATAGCCAAAGTGGGGTGTAATCAGCACAATGAGCAAGCATAGCAGTAGTTCACAATTATGAGCAAAGCTAGTGGTAGTCACAGCGGGCAAGTGAGGAGGAGGAGGGACTGTGAGAGGAGAGAAGATGGGAGACGACGGCTGAAGCTGCAGACACACGGGCAACAGGAGCGGCTGGCACAGTGGCTACCGGGACAGCGCCCCGGACTACTGGAGTAACTGGCTCACGGGCTACGAGGAGCTACAGGAGCAACGGACCCACGGGCGACAGGCGCAGCAGGCTCTCTGGGCTACCAGGACAGCGCCCCGGACTACAGGTGCTGCGGACGACAAGACGGCAGCCTCCTCTCAGCCTCCCCAAACAGTCCCACCCCCCCTGACACACACCCCCTGCTTCACCCCTAGCTCCACTCCCCCTTCACCCCTTAGTACCACTCCGACGGCTCCAACAGATCCACCCCCCTCAGCGGCAGCTGCAGCACTGGGAGACGGAGGAGGAGGAGGAGCAGGGGACGGCACACAGAAACTGCACCCCCATACCCCCCACCCCAAACCCTAATTCAGGAGAACGGGCAGCAGCAGGGGTGGGGCGCCGTCAGAAGCACGGGGGACAGCGGGCAGCTCAGGGGAAGAGGAAACAGGGCGCCCACGGGCCTGGCGCAGCCCGTACGAACCGCGCGCGGGCGGCCCGAGGCGCGCCCTGGCCTGGCGCAGCCCGTACGGGCCGCGCGCGGGCCAGGCGCTGCCCGTACGGGCCGCGCGCGGGCCTGGCGCAGCCCGTACGGGCCGCGCGCGGGCCTGGCGCAGCCCGTACGGGCCGCGCGCAGGCTGTACGGGCCGCGCGCGGGCCCTACGCAGGTCGCGCAGGCCGCGACGGGCGACGGGGGGCGACGCGCGGGTCCCCGTCGCCCGTCGCAGCGCCTCCTGGGAGCGACGCGCGGAGTGACGGGGCAGAAACCCGCCGCGCGCCTCGGGGCGCACGGCGGGCAGAAAACCGCCGCGCGCCTCGGGGCGCACGGCGGGCAGAAAACCGCCGCACGCTCCGAACGCGCGGCGGGATGAAAAATCCGTCGCACGCCACGGGGCGTGCAACACACAGAGTAGCAGTAGCAGCGGAAGCAGTGAGGTGGTGGGCCCACCCACAGGATCGACCCAGGAGGGTCGACCTGCTCTGATAGCATGTCAGAACTAGCAGTAGAAAGTAAGAATGAAGAAAGGAGGGGTTTCACTAGCAGCAGTTGGGATACATATAGCAAACCCTAACAGGGTTGTACTCGCTATAGAGCACCCCACTACAGGCTAGATTATTATAACATTCTGACAAATGGCTGCCCTCACCTGAGATTCTACTGCTCCACTTCTGAGGCGCTGGACGGCCGCGTGTCCTGTGAAGCAGTGAGTGTCCTAAAATGACTGCTCCCTTCAGTTAGTACCACATTACCTAAGACTGTGAGTTCTTTCAACCCGCTAAGGTAGGTTCTTCGTTCTCGCGGCACACCCTCCCGCTCCCACACTGCTATCAATACGCGATCGCAAGAATGGCTTATCCTCCAACGGCCGTCGTGTTGGCACTGCTGGTGCACGCGGCGTGCCTCTTATTGCCGCATCGTCTTGTCGCGGGGCACGTTTGGCCACTCAGTGAAGCAAGCACCCGCCGCGAGATGGCCAAGGCGCCTGGTGAGTGTTACGAACCAGTCGTCCCAGGGAATGTAGCCGTCACTGCAGCCGTCACTGCAGCCGTCACTGCAGCCGTCGCTTGACTTGTCCCATCCCCATCCGCATCCGCATTCGGACCGTTTTGTTTGACTCAGCCATGCCTCCGTCCCAACATGTTTTGAGAGCTTAGTCATCTGATAATGCCCCTACTAATCCACGCGTCCGTGCCTCTCCCCTCCCCCTCCCTCTCCGCGCCTCCAGCCACATGCCCCGCTGGCGTGGTCTGCCTGACAGGAGCTTTCTGCGTGGTGGAGAGCGGCGGCTTCCCCTTTTGCAAGTGCCTCACCGAGCAGGCCATAGTCAACGGCGCGTGCTTGGATGCCGTGAGATGGAAGACGGTCGCCACGAGCGTCGTGATCTACAACGCCGCCTCCTTCCCCAACTCGCCTGCCACGCTCGCGCCGGCCGTGCTGCGCGCGCCAGCACCCAACTCGTCGGCGTGCACGGTGGTGCCGAAGGGGTTTAACGGCACGGTGGGGTCGCTGCGGATCATGTGGAATGTGAATGACGGCGCGAAAGACCACCTGGTGTGCGGCAAGCTCGTGTTCTGGGACCGGCCCGACTGCTCCGGCTCCTCTTCGGTGTTTGAGATTCCCGGCAAGTGGACGGCCGCCAAGGCCGACAAGTTCAACTACGCCACCACCAGCGTCAAGTGAGTGGCGCAGGGAGGGAGTGTTAAGTGACTCGCTCGCACAGTCTATGCGCCCTTGCCGAGTCCCACCAAGTTCAACTACGCCACCACTAGCATCAAGCGAGTGGCGCAACCACCACTGACAACCATCTCCCGCAGACCATGACGCCCTTGCAGGGTTTAGCGTGATCCCTGCGTTGCCTCTGTTGGCCGTGGATCTGCTTGTGTTTCTGTGTTGACCGTGGCTCTACTTGTGTTTCCTACGTTGACTGTGGCTCTGCGTGTATTTGGCTGCACTAATCGTGACTCTCTCTGTGTGCGTGTTCAGGCTGGTGCCACGGAGTGCAGGAAGGCAGCGGGCGTGGTGGCGACGGGCAGGTCCTTCTCGTGTCTGGCGGCCGTGAAGCCGCCTGTCACGGACCTCTGTGCCACGGCGGCATGCCCGCCCAACTCCAAGTGCTCCAAAAAAAAACAGCTCCTATGCCGTCTGCACCTGCGAATCTGGCACCACCATGGTCCCCGAGGGCTACTGCGTTGGTGAGTGTCGCCCTCATGTCTGTCTCTCTCCCTCTCTCTCCCACACCCACTCGCTCCTCCTCTCTCTTCCCCTGTCCAGCGTCACATGCACGAGATGTCCTTTGCTCTCATTGGTCCGTTTGGCTTTATGCATGCACACTCCTGATAACACCGATCTGCTAATTCTTTCTTGTGTTGCAGATTCGTGCTCCGTCCTGCAGTGTGGCAAGGGTGGCAATTGCGTTATTCTATCGAACGGCCAGCCATATTGTGCTTGCAAGGATGGCTACGAGCAGGAGTTCGTAACTGGCTCGTGCATTGGTATGTGTGCTCGTGCATTGGTATGTGTGCTCGTGCATTGGTATGTGTGCTCGTCCATTGGTATGTGTGCTCGTGCATTGGTATGTGTGCTCCTGCATTGGTATGTGTGCTCGTGCATTGGTATGTGTGCTCGTGCATTGGTATGTGTGCTCATGCATTGGTAATGTGTGCTCATGCTTTGGAATGTGTGCTCATGCATTGGTATGTGTGCGCATGCATTGGTATGTGTGTATTGGTATGTGTGCTCGTGCATTGGTATGTGTGCTCATGCATTGGAATGTGTGCTCGTGCATTGGTATGTGTGCGTGTGCACATGCATTGGTATGTGTGCGCATGCATTGGTGTGTGCTCATTCATTGGTATGTGTGCTCATGCATGGTATGTGTGCTCATGCATTGGTATGTTTGCACTCTCTCTATCTCACTCTTCCCTTTCCGCTTTTTCCATCACATTCCTTTTTCCATACTCTCTCTCTCCCCATCCTATCCCCTCACCCTTTTTCCCCATTCATAACCACCTCCCCTTTCCCGCTCTTGCTTCATTGTTCTCCGCTATCGACAATTGTCGCCTTCCCTTCCCTCTGTGCACATAGTCACCTTTCTCACGTCTTCCGTTTTCTCCTCACCCCCACCCCACCCCCCCCCCCATGGTGCCTACAGGAGAAGGGCAGTGCAGGGACTGCAAGCAAGATTCCTTTGGCATGTTTGATATACAGTACGCTTACTGCCCACCAAGCTACAGCATGCACTCCGGTGCCTGCCTGCCACGTGGGGACTGTAGCTCTTCTCTGTGAGTAATGTTGCCTGCCAGGTGGAGACTGTAGCTCTTCTCTGTGAGTAATGTTGCCTGCCAGGTGGAGACTGTAGCTCTTCTCTGTGAGTAATGTTGCCTGCCAGGTGGGGACTGTAGCTCTTCTCTGTGAGTAATGTTGCCTGCCAGGTGGGGACTGTAGCTCTTCTCTGTGAGTAATGTTGCCTGCCAGGTGGGGACTGTAGCTCTTCTCTCTGAGTAATGTTGCCTACCAGGTGGGGACTGTAGCTCTTCTCTGTGAGTAATGTTGCCTGCCAGGTGGGGACTGTAGCTCTTCTCTGTGAGTAATGTTGCCTGCCAGGTGGGGATTGTAGCTCTTCTCTGTGAGTAATGTTGCCTGCCAGGTGGAGACTGTAGCTCTTCTCTTTGAGTAATGTTGCCTGCCAGGTGGGGATTGTAGCTCTTCTCTGTGAGTAATGTTGCCTGCCAGGTGGAGACTGTAGCTCTTCTCTTTGAGTAATCTTGCCTGCCAGGTGGGGACTGTAGCTCTTCTCTGTGAGTAATGTTGCCTGCCAGGTGGGGACTGTAGCTCTTCTCTGTGAGTAATGTTGCCTGCCAGGTGGGGACTGTAGCTCTTCTCTGTGAGTAATGTTGCCTGCCAGGTGGAGACTGTAGCTCTTCTCTGTGAGTAATGTTGCCTGCCATGTGGAGACTGTAGCTCTTCTTTGTGAGTAATGTTGCCTGCCAGGTGGGGACTGTAGCTCTTCTCTGTGAGTAATGTTGCCTGCCACGTGGGGACTGTAGCTCTTCTCTGTGAGTAATGTTGCCTGCCAGGTGGGGAATGTAGCTCTTCTCTGTGAGTAATGTTGCCTGCCAGGTGGGGAATGTAGCTCTTCTCTGTGAGTAATGTTGCATGCCAGGTGGAGACTGTAGCTCTTCTATGTGAGTAATGTTGCCTGCCAGGTGGGGACTGTAGCTCTTCTCTGTGAGTAATGTTGCCTGCCAGGTGGGGACTGTAGCTCTTCTCTGTGAGTAATGTTGCCTGCCAGGTGGAGACTGTAGCTCTTCTCTGTGAGTAATGTTGCCTGCCATGTGGAGACTGTAGCTCTTCTCTGTGAGTAATGTTGCCTGCCAGGTGGAGACTGTAGCTCTTCTCTGTGAGTAATGTTGCCTGCCAGGTGGGGACTGTAGCTCTTCTCTGTGAGTAATGTTGCATGCCAGGTGGAGACTGTAGCTCTTCTATGTGAGTAATGTTGCCTGCCAGGTGGGGACTGTAGCTCTTCTCTGTGAGTAATGTTGCCTGCCAGGTGGGGACTGTAGCTCTTCTCTGTGAGTAATGTTGCCTGCCAGGTGGAGACTGTAGCTCTTCTCTGTGAGTAATGTTGCCTGCCATGTGGAGACTGTAGCTCTTCTCTGTGAGTAATGTTGCCTGCCAGGTGGGGACTGTAGCTCTTCTCTGTGAGTAATGTTGCCTGCCAGGTGGGGACTGTAGCTCTTCTCTGTGAGTAATGTTGCCTGCCAGGTGGGGACTGTAGCTCTTCTCTCTGAGTAATGTTGCCTACCAGGTGGGGACTGTAGCTCTTCTCTGTGAGTAATGTTGCCTGCCAGGTGGGGACTGTAGCTCTTCTCTGTGAGTAATGTTGCCTGCCAGGTGGGGATTGTAGCTCTTCTCTGTGAGTAATGTTGCCTGCCAGGTGGAGACTGTAGCTCTTCTCTTTGAGTAATGTTGCCTGCCAGGTGGGGATTGTAGCTCTTCTCTGTGAGTAATGTTGCCTGCCAGGTGGAGACTGTAGCTCTTCTCTTTGAGTAATCTTGCCTGCCAGGTGGGGACTGTAGCTCTTCTCTGTGAGTAATGTTGCCTGCCAGGTGGGGACTGTAGCTCTTCTCTGTGAGTAATGTTGCCTGCCAGGTGGGGACTGTAGCTCTTCTCTGTGAGTAATGTTGCCTGCCAGGTGGAGACTGTAGCTCTTCTCTGTGAGTAATGTTGCCTGCCATGTGGAGACTGTAGCTCTTCTTTGTGAGTAATGTTGCCTGCCAGGTGGGGACTGTAGCTCTTCTCTGTGAGTAATGTTGCCTGCCACGTGGGGACTGTAGCTCTTCTCTGTGAGTAATGTTGCCTGCCAGGTGGGGAATGTAGCTCTTCTCTGTGAGTAATGTTGCCTGCCAGGTGGGGAATGTAGCTCTTCTCTGTGAGTAATGTTGCATGCCAGGTGGAGACTGTAGCTCTTCTATGTGAGTAATGTTGCCTGCCAGGTGGGGACTGTAGCTCTTCTCTGTGAGTAATGTTGCCTGCCAGGTGGGGACTGTAGCTCTTCTCTGTGAGTAATGTTGCCTGCCAGGTGGAGACTGTAGCTCTTCTCTGTGAGTAATGTTGCCTGCCATGTGGAGACTGTAGCTCTTCTCTGTGAGTAATGTTGCCTGCCAGGTGGAGACTGTAGCTCTTCTCTGTGAGTAATGTTGCCTGCCAGGTGGGGACTGTAGCTCTTCTCTGTGAGTAATGTTGCATGCCAGGTGGAGACTGTAGCTCTTCTATGTGAGTAATGTTGCCTGCCAGGTGGGGACTGTAGCTCTTCTCTGTGAGTAATGTTGCCTGCCAGGTGGGGACTGTAGCTCTTCTCTGTGAGTAATGTTGCCTGCCAGGTGGAGACTGTAGCTCTTCTCTGTGAGTAATGTTGCCTGCCATGTGGAGACTGTAGCTCTTCTCTGTGAGTAATGTTGCCTGCCAGGTGGAGACTGTAGCTCTTCTCTGTGAGTAATGTTGCCTGCCAGGTGGGGACTGTAGCTCTTCTCTGTGAGTAATGTTGCCTGCCAGGTGGGGACTGTAGCTCTTCTCGGTGAGTAATGTTGCCTGCCAGGTGGGGACTGTAGCTCTTCTCTCTGAGTAATGTTGCCTACCAGGTGGGGACTGTAGCTCTTCTCTGTGAGTAATGTTGCCTGCCAGGTGGGGACTGTAGCTCTTCTCTGTGAGTAATGTTGCCTGCCAGGTGGGGATTGTAGCTCTTCTCTGTGAGTAATGTTGCCTGCCAGGTGGAGACTGTAGCTCTTCTCTTTGAGTAATGTTGCCTGCCAGGTGGGGACTGTAGCTCTTCTCTGTGAGTAATGTTGCCTGCCAGGTGGGGACTGTAGCTCTTCTCTGTGAGTAATGTTGCCTGCCAGGTGGGGACTGTAGCTCTTCTCTGTGAGTAATGTTGCCTGCCAGGTGGAGACTGTAGCTCTTCTCTGTGAGTAATGTTGCCTGCCATGTGGAGACTGTAGCTCTTCTTTGTGAGTAATGTTGCCTGCCAGGTGGGGACTGTAGCTCTTCTCTGTGAGTAATGTTGCCTGCCACGTGGGGACTGTAGCTCTTCTCTGTGAGTAATGTTGCCTGCCAGGTGGGGAATGTAGCTCTTCTCTGTGAGTAATGTTGCCTGCCAGGTGGGGAATGTAGCTCTTCTCTGTGAGTAATGTTGCCTGCCAGGTGGAGACTGTAGCTCTTCTGTGTGAGTAATGTTGCCTGCCAGGTGGGGACTGTAGCTCTTCTCTGTGAGTAATGTTGCATGCCAGGTGGAGACTGTAGCTCTTCTATGTGAGTAATGTTGCCTGCCAGGTGGGGACTGTAGCTCTTCTCTGTGAGTAATGTTGCCTGCCAGGTGGGGACTGTAGCTCTTCTCTGTGAGTAATGTTGCCTGCCAGGTGGAGACTGTAGCTCTTCTCTGTGAGTAATGTTGCCTGCCAGGTGGGGACTGTAGCTCTTCTCTGTGAGTAATGTTGCCTGCCAGGTGGGGACTGTAGCTCTTCTCGGTGAGTAATGTTGCCTGCCAGGTGGGGACTGTAGCTCTTCTCTCTGAGTAATGTTGCCTACCAGGTGCCAGGTGGGGACTGTAGCTCTTCTCTGTGAGTAATGTTGCCTGCCAGGTGGGGACTGTAGCTCTTCTCTGTGAGTAATGTTGCCTGCCAGGTGGGGACTGTAGCTCTTCTCTGTGAGTAATGTTGCCTGCCAGGTGGGGACTGTAGCTCTTCTCTGTGAGTAATGTTGCCTGCCAGGTGGAGACTGTAGCTCTTCTATGTGAGTAATGTTGCCTGCCAGGTGGGGACTGTAGCTCTTCTCTGTGAGTAATGTTGCCTGCCAGGTGGGGACTGTAGCTCTTCTCTGTGAGTAATGTTGCCTGCCAGGTGGAGACTGTAGCTCTTCTCTGTGAGTAATGTTGCCTGCCAGGTGGGGACTGTAGCTCTTCTCTGTGAGTAATGTTGCCTGCCAGGTGGGGACTGTAGCTCTTCTCGGTGAGTAATGTTGCCTGCCAGGTGGGGACTGTAGCTCTTCTCTCTGAGTAATGTTGCCTACCAGGTGCCAGGTGGGGACTGTAGCTCTTCTCTGTGAGTAATGTTGCCTGCCAGGTGGGGACTGTAGCTCTTCTCTGTGAGTAATGTTGCCTGCCAGGTGGGGACTGTAGCTCTTCTCTGTGAGTAATGTTGCCTGCCAGGTGGGGATTGTAGCTCTTCTCTGTGAGTAATGTTGCCTGCCAGGTGGAGACTGTAGCTCTTCTCTTTGAGTAATCTTGCCTGCCAGGTGGGGACTGTAGCTCTTCTCTGTGAGTAATGTTGCCTGCCAGGTGGGGACTGTAGCTCTTCTCTGTGAGTAATGTTGCCTGCCAGGTGGGGACTGTAGCTCTTCTCTGTGAGTAATGTTGCCTGCCAGGTGGAGATTGTAGCTCTACTCTGTGAGTAATGTTGCCTGCCATGTGGAGACTGTAGCTCTTCTTTGTGAGTAATGTTGCCTGCCAGGTGGGGACTGTAGCTCTTCTCTGTGAGTAATGTTGCCTGCCACGTGGGGACTGTAGCTCTTCTCTGTGAGTAATGTTGCCTGCCAGGTGGGGAATGTAGCTCTTCTCTGTGAGTAATGTTGCCTGCCAGGTGGGGAATGTAGCTCTTCTCTAGGAGTAATGTTGCCTGCCAGGTGGAGACTGTAGCTCTTCTGTGTGAGTAATGTTGCCTGCCAGGTGGGGACTGTAGCTCTTCTCTGTGAGTAATGTTGCATGCCAGGTGGAGACTGTAGCTCTTCTATGTGAGTAATGTTGCCTGCCAGGTGGGGACTGTAGCTCTTCTCTGTGAGTAATGTTGCCTGCCAGGTGGGGACTGTAGCTCTTCTCTGTGAGTAATGTTGCCTGCCAGGTGGAGACTGTAGCTCTTCTCTGTGAGTAATGTTGCCTGCCAGGTGGGGACTGTAGCTCTTCTCTGTGAGTAATGTTGCCTGCCAGGTGGGGACTGTAGCTCTTCTCTGTGAGTAATGTTGCCTGCCAGGTGGGGACTGTAGCTCTTCTCGGTGAGTAATGTTGCCTGCCAGGTGGGGACTGTAGCTCTTGTCTGTGAGTAATGTTGCCTGCCAGGTGGAGACTGTAGCTCTTGTCTGTGAGTAATGTTGCCTGCCAGGTGGGGACTGCATCTCTCCTTGCAGGCCATGCATGCCCCGTGCGATCAACAGAACAGGGTAATACTAAGATGTGGCCGTTGCTTCACCATCATTTCAGGGAAGCATGTAGTCCGTTTTTTTTTTTTGCTCGTCATCTTATGCTTTTTCTGCCTGATCTATTCTCCTTTCCACCACTCCCCTGTGTCCAATCGTCCAATAATTCAATCACCTGGCAGGAGTCCTTCCTAACGTGGCAGACATTTCCATCAGCATCTACAGCGTGCCCGCCTAGGGCGGCACGGACCCCCCCTACATCTTCCGCCTCAAGCCCAACAAGTGTGTCACCATTCCGCCGGACGTTGTTACCAGCAGCAAGTCGGCCAGCATTCTGTTCCGCGCGCCGGGGTCAAGCGTGAGGTGCACCACCTTGGTCGTCTACGACGCGCCCTTTTGCAAAGGGAACCCTCTCAGCTCTGACGTGCCCACCGGCAATGACCTTTACAAAATGTCCATTCTGTGAGTCTCAATCTCTCTCCCTCTCTTCCTCTCCTCCCTCTCTCCGTCTCTCCCTCTCCTTCCTCTCTCCCTCTCCTCCCTCTCCTCCCTCTCCTCCCTCTGCTCCCTCTCCTTCCTCTCCTCCCTCTCCCTCCTCTCCTCCGTCCCTCCCTCTCCTCCCTCTCCTCCCTCTCCTCCCTCTCCTCGCTCTCCTCCCTCTCCTCCCTCTCCTCGCTCTCCTCCCTCTCCTCCCTCTCCTCCCTCTCCTCCCTCTTCTCCCTCTCGCCCCTCTCCTCCCTCTCCCTCTCCTCCCTCTCTTCCTCTCTCTCTCCCGGTTGGTTGCTTCCTTTAGGTCTGCCCTCCAACTTCCCTCTCTCTAGTCCTCAACGTCCACTATTTTTGCCATTATTCCGCATCCTATGCATGAACTCTCAAATAATTTGCCACAAACCCTCATATTTGAAATCTTTATGTTTCTCTCATCAGGAACAATGGACTTTGGAAGCCCTTGTCTGTTCAGTGCCTTTTGTGGACTGTATGAGGATCTGCCTGGGAAGCCGCCGAGCGTTAAGATATGAAGTTTGAAGTAGTCCAAGAATATTCAAGAAGATGAGGAGCTTCTTGGATAGCCCAATGTGCCTGCCTAGCGCCAACAACTCTCAAATGCTAACGAGATTCCACAATTTGTCGAATAAAGCGGGTTCCATACTAATCGTGGTGCGCATTCGCTCCGGATGTCTCATCATCAATTCATGAGCATATGCACGACCGGTTAACAATGACGTGTGTCGAGGCTCCTGCATGTATCCAAGTGCTGCCCTAGCTAGCAGCACAGATATAACTATTCAAAGCGCGGCTAGGTCACGGCTTATGACGTGCTCGGCCAGGTTGTAGCGCGGGTTACTGTCAAACTCGAGGCTAAAATCCAAATTCGTCAGCTTTTAAGGATCGAAGTAGCCTGTCATTTTGGTCGGATTTGTTGGGAAAAGAAATTTGACTTATGCAATTCACTAGTTCGATAGTGTAAACAATACAATAGTATCGTAGTATTATTATATGTGTCAAAACTTATATGCTTACATTGACTTAGGCTATAGCTGGGTTAGCCATTAGAGGGTGCATAGTTTTTCTCGACACTTGTTTGTACCCACCTTGCTTGACCTAATCCATCATTCAGAACTATTCTAACATGGTATTAAGAACAGTTAGGTCCTTTAAGACCGTTCTTTTTTAACAACGTAGGGTTACCACTACCTCTTTCACTGCCCGTAGCGCGCACCTAGGGAGTGCCTCTTCGCTGCTCGTCGCACGCCCTTAGGGCGCGTCGTTTTTTCTGTCCGAATCGCGCACCTATCGAGCACCTCGTTCCCTGCCCCGCGCGCGCCTCGTACTAAGCCCGAATTGCGCCCAGTATGTTGCCTAGCGCGCGCCCCGTCTACTTCCATGAGCGCGCCCTGCAACCTGCCCGTAGCGCGCCCCGTCAGCTGCCCCGAGCACGCACCATCTGCAGCCCCGCGCGCGCCCTGTTAACTGCCCTGCGCGCGCACCGTCTGCTGCTCTGCCAGCGCGCCACGCGCCCTGCCCTGCCTGCGCCACGCGCCCTGCCCTGCCAGCGCGCCATGCGCCCTGCCCTACCTGCGCCACGCGCCCTGCCCTGCCCGCGCTACCGCCCTGCCCTGCCCGCGCCAGCGCCCTGCACTGCCTGCCCCAGCGCTGCCCAGCGCTGCCCTGCCCTGCCTGGCCGCCGCCAGCGCTGCCCTGCTCGTTGCCCAGCGCTGCCCTGCCCTGCCTTGCCGCCGCCAGCGCTTCCCTACATGCTGCCCAGCGATGCCCTGCCCTGCCTGACCGCCGCCAGCACTGCCCTGCACGCTGCCCAGCGCTGCCCTGCCAATCCGCACCTGCTGTCTGCCGGCCGCCGCCACTACTAGTGCCGCTACAGCCCTGCTGTCTCTGCTACAGCCCCTTCCACTGCCACTGCAGCCCCTGTTAGCGCCCTTCCCACGTCCACCTGCTGCTATTACTGTTGCCGCAGCTGTCGTAGCACCTGCCGCCACTACTGCCAGCCGCTCCCACAGCTCTTCCAGCCGTAGTCACCTCTACTACTACAGTCACCACTACTATTCCTGTCGCTGCCCCTGCTGCAAACTATGGCGACCGTTATTGCAGCCGATCTCCCGACTCGCTTCCCTGACTTTGTTCGCAGCGTTCCACACCACTTCCTCTCTTTGCGCGGCGGCAGGGGTGGGCGTTCGAAGGGTCGGGACGGTAGAGGTGGCGGTAGCGGTGGCGGTGTCGAGGGTGGAGCAGGTGGCAGTGGCGGGGGTGGACACCAGCGGCAGCCCCATCTGCAGCATACTTTCTCGCCGCAGCAGATTCGTTTGTGGGTTTCCCGGCGGGGCTCTAAGGGTGTAGAGGCTGTTAGTTTGGGTGCTTGTGAGGCAGCTAGCCCAGGTGCGGTTCCTGCAGAGGCGTTGCTTACCTTCACACTCGACTCTGGCGCGTCTCGCTGCTTCTTCCGCGACTGCACCACAGTCACACCGCTTACTGCACCTGTCCTTGTCACCCTAGCCGACCTCTCCTTTGATCCTGTCATTGCACGTAGTTCCACTGTTCTTCCGTGTCCGACAGCCGCCCTGGCTCTCTCACAGGTTTCCACCTCCCCTCGTTTACTACTAACTTGGTGAGTGTCGCTCACCTCCAGGATATGATGGTCACGATCACCTTTCTTGGGGGCGAGCGTGTGGCGATCTGTATGGACTCGGCGACTGGGAACCACCTCGCCACATTCACGCGTAGGCCTGGGTCTGGTCTGTACACACTACACACTGAGTCCGCTCACGTCGCTGCGTCAGGTCAGGTAGCTGCGTCTTGCCAGTGTCGGGTACTCACGCACCCGTCTCTTCTTTGGCACCACCATCTTGGTCACCCCTCCCTGCAGCGTCTACGTCGCATGCACTCGAGTGTCCTAGTCTCTGGTCTCCCACAGTCTCTACCCCCGCTCCCACCGTCGCTTGCGCCATCGTGTCTTCCTTGTGTCGAAGGACGGCAGCGCGCTGCTCCTCACTCCTCCTCGTTCCCTCCAACCGATGGTCCTCTGCAGACCCTACACATGGACATGAGGGGCCCAGCCCCCGTCCCTGGACCGGGCCGGGAGTGCTATTTCCTGCTGGTCGTTGATGACTGCACACGCTATACCACGATGTTTCCCTTGCGGTGCAAGGGCGACGTCCATCTTGTACTAATCCCTTAGATCCGCGCTGTTCGTTGCAAACTGAGCGCTCGGTTTCGGTCTGACCTACCGGTCCTACGTCTGCATTCTGACCATGGAGGTGAGTTTTCCTCCGGTCTACTTGAGGACTTTTGTCGTGAGGAGGGCATCACCCAGTCGTTCACGCTTCCGGCCTCTCCACAGCAGAATAAGATCGCTGAGCGCCGCATTGGCTTGGTCATGGAGGTTGCTCGCACCTCCATGATCCATGCGGCTGCTCCCCATTTTCTGTGGCCGTTTGCGGTCCGATACGCCGCACATCAGCTCAACCTCTGGCCCCGTGTCTCCGAGCCAGGGACCTCGCCTACACTGTGTAGGATGGGGAAAGTTGGCGATGCGTCAGCGTTTCGGATCTGGGGTTCGATGTCCCTTGTCCGCAATACTACCGCGGACAAGTTCTCTTCTCACACTATTCGCTGCGTTTTCCTTGGCTTTCCCACCGACGCGCCTGGCTGGCAGTTTTATCACCCAGCCACACGTCGTGTCCTATCCTCCTAGAACACCACCTTTGACGAGTTGGTCCCCTACTACCGTCTCCACCCCCACGTGTCTTCTCCTGTCCCCCCGCCGCCCCTCTTCCTGGTTCCAGGTTACCCCTCGGTAGACCCCCACCCCCCTCGCGTCCTGCTCCCTCAGGTGTGTCTCAGGTCACACCACCCCCCTTGACTGAGCCTTTGGAGGTCTCCTCTTGCCCGGCTGAGGGGGGTGACCCTGCTGCTGATGACACTGCGGCCTCCCGCCGCTCCCTGCGCTTGGAGACTCCTCCAGGCTTTCCGCCTCGACCGTCTTCGCCGCCTCTGCAGCCTGTCACTGTGGACTCAAGTGCTACTGGAGGTGGTGGCGCTGGAGGTGTGGGCTCTGAGAGCGCTAACGCTGGAGGTGCTGAGTCTGGGGGTGCTGAGCCTAGGGGTGTTGAGCTTGGGGGTGCTGAGTCTGGGGGTGCTGAGTTTGGGGGTGCTGAGCCTGGGGTTGCTGAGTCTGGGGGTGCTGAGCCTGGGGGTGTTGCTTCTGGTGGTAGACAACGCTGCCGTCGCGTCCGCAGGAGACTCTCTCGCCGCAGCAGCTGCGTGAGTGGGTAGTAGGACGCCGTGCTGACACTGGAGGTACTCGGGGGTGCTGAGCTTGGTAGTGCTGACTCTAGGGGTGCTGAGCGTGGGGGTGGACAGCCGCTGCCGTTGCGTCCGCAGGAGACTCTCTCGCCGCAGCAGCTGCAGGGGGTGGGTAGTCAGGCATCGTGCTGACTATGCAGGTGCTGGTTCTGAGGGTGCTGAGCGTGAGGGTGCTGCCACTGGAGGTACTGGAGCCGGAGGTGCTGAGGCTGCTGGTGCTGGAGGTACAGGAGCTGGAGGTATAGGAGCTAGAGGTGCTGAAGTTTCTGGTACTAGAGGTGCTGGAGCTGGAGGTACTGTCACTGGTGGTGCCGGACGTACTAGGGCTGGGAGTACTGGAGGTTTTGGTGCTGGAGGTGCTGCGAAGCCAGTGCAGCGGCGACCGTTCTTCTGGCCTCAGTCGCACTCGTCACTGCCACCACCTGGCTCGGCGCTTCGCCAAGTTCTTAATCTTCCGTCGTCCACTGGCCTTACTCCTCCCCTACTCTGTCCTCTGCCAGACGAGTCACAGCCACAGTTAGAGCCTCACTCTCCACTGAGCAGACAGACTCCCTGATAGAGCGTCGTGAGCCTGCGTCCCGTCCTGCCTCCTTTGTTCGCACTGTTCGTCGGACTAGTCGTCCTCGTTCTCCAACTGTTCCCGGCACACACACTATGGTACTTCGTCCTTCCTCTGTTCCACAGCGTGTTGCCCTGCCGTCTCCTCTAGCGTCCTCTCTTCCCCACGTTCCTGACCCTGAGTCTGACGTTGTTCGTGCTGCTAGTCCTATTGTCACACGTGTTCTAGCCACACTTGTCACTGACCCTACTTTTGAGTCTGTTGCTGCGTTTGCCTTAGTTACTGAGCTCGTTGACTTTGCTGCTGCGTGTCGTCTCGACTACGTTGCTAGTCTTGTTACTGAGTCTGAGTCTGACTATCCTCCGCATGTCGGAGGTGAGTGTGCCCTAGGCACGGACGTCCTTGAGGACAGGCAGTTTGAGCTCGAGTGCCTTACGGCTGCTGTACCTCATCTCGCTGCCATGCTGCTTGCCCCTGAGGGAGACCCGGATGCACTAGACATCTCGACCCCGCGCTCTTACGTAGAGGCGATCACTGGTCCTTACTCCTCTCAGTCACAGACAGCCATGGACGCAGAGATGGCATCCTGGAAGTCCACAGGCACCTACGTCGACGTAGTTCCCTCTCCTGGGGCGAACATAG